ATAATGATAACAATAATAATGATAATTTCCTTTAATGACCTTACATGGTAAGCAAAATATATGAGTTGCTTGCCTTAGAAACTTTTGATAACTTTAATTTGTTCAACGCCATATATCCCACAAATTGAGGTGATAAGTGGTAGTGAAAAAATTTTTCAGACGACGAAATTAGATTAAAATAAGCTGAAAACAGGGATGAAAATAACGATGTGAAAGTGTGAATGTAATTGATAAAAAAATGTGACAAAAAAGGGAAAAAAATTGTTACGAATCACCTATGCTACTCCATAAAAATGAAATTATCAATTTAATTATCCATCAATCTTTTCGAATCATCAATTAATGAATTATCAATTAATTGTCCATCAGTCTTTCCGAAGATAACTTAATTGGTTGCGTTCATTTAAAATTTCATTTGTACTTTCATAGCGCTATTAAACTAATATGAAAAATGCTATCCAGAAATTTCATGTGATACAATAAATTCTACAATCGTTTTTTTTTTTTTCATCTATTATAATGCAAACTTTAAACTTATCAGCAATAATGAAGCGATTACGAGAAAATAATATGGTTTTCAGGAAAGTCTTATCGGAATGCTTGTAGCTAATACAAATATCGTACCCGGCAGAATGATGAATTTGAAGAAATACTGTAGTGACAAACTGAGTGATAAACTGAGTGATAAATCTGAAGAAATATTGCAAGAAAAAGATGAAAAGCATACTTTCGCGACAAAATGGTTATTGAAATGATTGTCGATCATTGATAAAGGACTGGTTGAAATGATTTTGCAAATTGCCGATTGAACGAAATGATAAACGTAAATAATGAGTGGATGATGCTGACCGATTAGATCGCAGATAGGTGACATCTATTTATTAGGGTGATATACGGAATCATCAATGGGAATAAGTTGAGAATTACGAGAACATTTCAAAATTATTGAAAACCACAACTAATTAAGGGGAATTGAAATTTATTTGGTCAAAAAGTACAAACCATTAAGTATTTTAACTCAATTAAATCAAATTAAAATATTTCAAAGTTGCTTCTGATTGTATTTTCTTTTTAAAAAGAAAAATATTCTCTTTTCATCCCCTGATTCCTCTCTTTCCTTGAAAAAAACAAAAACAAAATACGCTCGAAATGTTTTATTAATAGTACTATTTTGCTTTACAGATTTATTATCTTGAGGGAGTTAAAGATTGACGATTGATTTATTATCTCAAGAAAGTTAAAGATTAATAGTTAAAGTTGAAGCTCCTAAGGTTAAAGTTCATTTGCAAATACAAGGAAGCATGAAATGATCAATAATAAGTAAGCTATTATATGCAATATTCGAACTATCGCAGATGAACCGAATGAATTCGAAATGACAAGGATTATAATTGAATTACAATTAGAAATGGAAAAAAGAGTTGTACAATTTTTT